GGATGCTCGGAGATCGGACGATGATCCCATTTAATAATTCGATTGGTTTACTCGCTGATCTGGCCGATCTCATGAACCGATCGCAGGTTTTTTTATGCATTTACAAACAGAAGAGGATGCACGTGTGCACCTGGGTTATACATACAGCAGCTACTGCATACATTTAGGCCTTTTTACGTAGAACAACTGAGAGTTCTGTGTTTTAACAATATTTGAAATTAATAAAAACCTGGCTGGAAATATTAGATGAATAAAAAAAAAAAAATTAAAAATTTTTTTATTAACATGAATAACTTTGTAATTTACATATTGCAATAAGCAGTATTTTATTTAATTTTAGTAAGCAAATAATATAGTATTTATATAAAGGATTTATAGTTGTGCATCTTAATTTCTTATGCATCAAATGTGCGCTCCAAACCTTTTCTTGATGGAGACTTGTTGAATTCTTCTTTCATCATTTGCAAGGTTTCCAAATTGCAATGTTAGCAAATTTTCCTACTGTTCTTTACTGTGCTATCTATTTTGTTCTGTAAAGCTGCTTCTGACAATGACATGTTCACACCTAAATGGTTAAAGAGACATGCTTGAGGGATTATATGCAGCATTCTTCATGTATTTTCTTATGTAAGAAGAGATGTCCACTTAAGTATCATACGTAGAGGGAAAAAATGCATTATAAAGCCAATGCGCCTTATGCATTATAAAGTATCATAATCAGTACTTGGTATTGGATGATCACTATGACACTGAATCAGTACTCTGATCAGAGCATCCCTGAGATATAGATAGATTATATATATATGACAGACAGTGCTAATCACTGAGACACTGTGTCACCCAATCAGCTATTAATCACATGTAATTTCAAATCAATGCTTCAATAAATTCAAATTGTTCGACAAACAAGCAAACAGATTAAAAAAAACCATCTTCTTCCCTTCTGTGTCAAATCAGCTGAATCATCCTGAAAATGAAATTAACTTCAACACACTGCGATGGACAGTAAACACCATCGTAACCACAGAAACGGAGGCGGCCAACAACAAACTTTCCTCTGTCTGACCATAAACACGACATTAGCTTGAAAAGTCTTCTTGATTTCATCTTGAAATTTCCGCTCGCTGATGTATTTCTAAACGGAGGCGGTCGAGTGTCTCGCTGCAGGAATTCCCCATTCTGCTCGGAGTGGGAAATAAAGACAGTTTCATTCTGCTCACTTCCTAAAAATATGACAGAAAGACTGCACAGGCCTAATTTGATGAATCTTAGAAACTAACAAGGGGATATACTGCATCCAAATTGGACTTATTTGTTTGTTTGTGTAATGCTCTGTATGAATTACAGCTATATTCACAGCAAAATCAAAAAGGTAAAAATTTCAGTTATTTGCGCAGTAAGAAAAAAAGAAGAAAAATAGAGAAAGAAAGCAAGAAAGAAAGCTCTATTTTAATGATCTAGGCACAATAAAGCTCATGGCACACAAGCATTAATGCTGTGTCTTAATGCAATTTTGCTATTTTAGGGACAGATACACTCAGCGCATGGTCTAACAGGGCTGTGCTTATTCTCTTAATGAGTTCTGGGTGGGTTTTGAGCATAATGTACATTAAACCAATCAGAGTCTCGTCTCTCATTCCCTTTAAGAGTCAGCTGCGTTACACCATGGTGCATTGGCTACTTACATGGCGGACTTTGTAAGTGTAAAAACTGAACGCTTCACCAGCGAAAAAACAGTTAAACAGAGCATCTGCAGCGCGAGAATAAAGAACAAGCCTCCTCCATTCAGGCTCTTTACTTTACTCCTTAACTTTAGTGGAGCAGGGAAACGGTGGAAACTCACTCCACTGAAGACATTTATAGCCTAGATATTTAATTTTGCTGGTAAGCACAAAGATTTACTTAAAAACTATTTCTAAATTCAGTTCTAATCTCCAGTAAAAGGAAAAATTAACAATAATAACAAAGCGTGGTCAACAAACTGATCCAAACACACGTCCTATTCTTATGCCCCATATGGTGATGCAGACATCTTAAAACCTCACGTGGACAAACCTACACTTGAGTTTATTAAAACTAATATAAATCTGCATATAATAAATAATACTGCTAACAACAACAACTTTATACAGTTGCAGATTGTTATGAATAAACTGAAAAAGCCCCCTGAGGTGAAGGAATGGGGGCAGTGGTGTATATTGATGTAGAAAATAATAAATTTTGTAACATTAATCCTTTAATAGTTTTCATCTGTAAAGATATTTGTGTGTTGCTGCTGTACATCCTGTGTGTATTCAGCAATGTGTAAGCATTTTTGGACGTGCATAGGCGCATAACTAACATGCTCTGCAATGGACTTTAAAGCAGCTTTTAGACTGTCAATGGCTCGATTGCAGTTCTTCAAAATAGCAATGCTCTAACAATGCACCTTAACACACCTCCTTTCCAGCATTCCCATGAGTCCTCAAAGTGGTGCAAATGGATTTTCTATTTAAACAACATGGCACAAAATGAGAAAATTAGTGTTGCGCTGGTCTGAAAATAGCAACAAATTGTGCCAAACATGTCTTGAGCCTTATTGCGCCAGATGTATGATAGGGCCCAGAAGAAAGCAAGCAAGAAAAAATTATTAAAAAGATAAAAAAAATAAAAGTAAAAAGAAAGAGAGAGAGAGAGAGAGAGAGAGAGAGAGAGAGAGAGAGATGAAGAAAGAATTAAAGAAATAATTAGAGGAAAAACTAAAAAGTTACATTTTTTTAAATAAAATTGATTAAAAACCTTGGCAAAAAATATAAAATATATCGGCAAATATTTTACTAATATAAGCCTCAGTCAATTAATATTTACCAAAAAAAAAAAATAATAATAATAAATAAATAAATATATATATATATATATATATATATATATATATATATATATATATATATATATATATATAATAATAATCATATATTATAAATAATGTATATTAAATATATAAAAAATTAATAATTATAAAATAATAAATAAGTCTTTGACATCTCGTATGTATAGATTAGTCACTTATATTAATCAAAATGAAACCAATGGTTCATCACAATTTTACAAGAAACAAATATAAATAAAGTATTATAATAATGATTTTTTTTGCATTGCACCATTATTTTCACACATTTCCAACCAGTCAACAATTGTTTAGGATTAAAAATCATTACCAGTACCAAGAGGATTGATCATGAACTAGCAGGTACAGATTCAGCTGAAGTTTTACTCACATATTTATGAAGGTTAAGAAGAGTTTTCGACACCATGTACAATTTCATCTTTAAATCCATCAAATGACGAATGAGGAAGAGGAACGCCATGAGGATGAAGAGGCTCAGGGCGTCCAGGCAAAGATTAAAGCATCACATGGCGGCTCTGAGGGGTCAAGGCCAAACGCCTGATCATATTCCAGCCCTCAATCTGGGCATCATGGGAAGACTGTCTGCCGAAAGCCTGAAGAATGTGAAATCTGCCATGTGATCTGTTCCTCCGGGCCACAACAAACTGGGCTGAGGGGAAACCGTGCTAATCTGAGCCTTACAGCGATTTCACTTTTACGGTTGACATTCAACAGACCGGAGACATCCAATGGCAACAGGACACGCCTTTCCATATTAAATCCATTCACAATTAGGTTTTCGCTTGATGTCCAAATGCCAGGCCACAAATAAATTCAAGCAATTCATTTACAACTTGTGCACAAAAAACAAAGCTTATGCTACATAGAATGGCTCAATGAGGTTTGGTTTTAAACTTTGACTATTTATTAAAGCATCTGGCTTCTTTTAAAGCGGTTGTCTTTAATGTTAGCTGCATTTTTTTTAATATGTGGAAAAAAGCCTGTATCATAGCATGCAGATTGCTAAAATGCAGGAAGGAGTAGCATTGATTCACTTGTGGATTTTTATAAACAGACTTCAGTCTGACAGAAATGTTTCTATAGATCTGATTATTTGCTTTGTTTATTGGGAATACGAAGATTATAAGAGGCCACTTAACGTAAAATACTAAATAAATACTAAGCAAATGCTAAATAAGGAACTACTAAGTAAACTCTACTTGAAAGTTAAGTACTACATGCTAATCTCAGGCTAAATTGGGGAAAAAAAAAAAAAAAAACTCTCCTCAAATGTCTTGCAGAGACCCCTAGGGCTCTATGTTTTGGATCTTTCCAGTTCTCTTTCAATATGCGTTTAATTTTAAGCTGATGACAACCATATCAACAAAAAGTATGCTATAAAATATGTGCATGTGCACTTGTCTGTCTTACGTCGCAGGATTTGCAATGTTCAGTCTATATAATAATGTACCATTTGCATATGAGGTCTGTGACTGTGTGAGCAGTTTAAAAGCTTATTATCATTCTTATTCTTATTTATTATTCAACTACTGCACCTGATTACTGTTAGACTTATATAAATAAATAAATAAAACTGTTTGTTTTAACTGGTGCCAGACAGGCTCGCCAAAACTGGACAATAGAAGATTGGAGAAACGTTGCTGCTCTGATGAGTCTCCATTTCTGCTGACACATTTGGATGCTCGGCTCAGAGTTTGGCCTTAACAACATGAAAGCATGGATCATCCTGCCTTGTATCAGCGGTTCAGGCTGGTGGTGGTGGTGTAATGGTGTGGGGGAGATTTTCTTGGCACAATTTGGGTTCATTAGTACCAATTGAGCATGGTGTCAACGCCACAGCCAACCTGAGTATTGCTGCTGATCATGTCCATCCATTTATGAGCACAGTGTCTCCATCTTCTGATGGCTACTTCTAGCAGGATAACGCACCATGTCATAAAGCTTCAATCATCTCAGACTGGTTTCTTAAAATGACAATGAGTTCACTGTGCTCAAATGGCCTCTACAGTCACCAGAGCTCAAACCAATAGAGCAGCTTTGGGATGTGGTGGAACGGGAGATCAGCATCATGGATGTGCAGCCGACAAATCTGCAGCAACTGTGATGCTATCATGTCAATATGAAGCAAAATCTGAGGAATATTTCCAGTGCCTTGTTGAATCTATGAAGGATTAAGGCAGTTCTGAGGGCAAAAGAGGCTCCAAACGGGTACCAGTCAGGCGTACCTAATAAAGTGGCCAATGAGAGTATATTGCAGCCAAAATTTTGTGAAGAACTAGTTGGATCTTAACGTTACTTGTTTATATTTTGAACGTGCAATTAAATAAAAGTTGCTTAGTAATGAAGCAGCAACGAATACTTGATAAGACATACGTTTTCCCTTTATAACATGATCACGTGCCTCAGCACAAAAATCTATATGACAAATACAAGCAGACCAATGTGCATATTTTACAAAACTACTCACCACAAACAAAGTCGTTGTTGCTAAACAGCATCTCATGCTAAAACGTTAACGCTATAATAAATATGGAAAATAAAGGTATCGTCATATTCAAGCACATGTTCTCACATGATATGCATATGATAGACTCAGAAATAACTATCTGGTCTATGTTCAGATCACACATGCCATGTTGTTTAATTATAAGCGTAATAACAATCCAAAAGATCAGTATTTAACGACAGATGGAAGAAATAGCAACCGAAGCTAACTAGTTAGCCAAACACAAAACATAATAAACAACGAAAACTGCACGGGTTATACGCTAGACTGCTGTTTATAACTGATTAGCCGTGTATAAATACACATTTCGTTAATACAGCGAATAAATGACAAAATAAAACAATTTATTCTGTGGTTTCATATCAGTGGCTCAGAGTCGCTATTGCTAACAGTTCTAAAACGAGAGGGAATACACTCATATTTGACTTTAACACTTGCTTGAAATATGAAAGATTGTTCATCTTACCTCATATGATTATGTACAGGTGGATAAAGTAGCAAACAGAACATTTATTGGAGTTTGGGAGCGAATGTAAAACATTTCAGACAACTGCCGTCACAATCACGAACAGATGATCACTCCAAACTGACACGGACCAATCAGAGCGGCACTCGATATCGCCTTGGCCAATCAATAGGCGTCTGTTAGGTTTACATCACGTGACATCTGGAAGCGTTTCCCTCAGGGTTAACTAAATCTGTTTAATTTTTACACATACTTTAAGTCATTTGATTTGCCTTTTAATAAGAATAATAATAATAAAACAATGACATTAAGTAATGCGGAATGTTCATTTTTAATTCACGGCAAAATGAAACACCCGGACAAACAGCGCTCCCTGGTGTAAAACTCCAAAACCTTGCAAACAAAATAGGATGAAAATAATAATAATAATAATAATAATAATAATAATAATAATAATAATAATAATAATAATAATAATAATAATAATATTATTATATACATACATGCATACATACATACATACACACATACATATATATACACACACACACACTCATTCTCCTTCTGACTTTATTTTTTATTAATTTTATTTGTATTCTAGAGTAAGTAACATTGGCATGTCTGTCCTAAATATCATTTTCATTCATGTCTTGTTGATCTGTAATTAAATGATTTTTTTTTTAGTTATTTATATGACTTTTTACCTATAAATGAATATAATTTTGGTTTTGAATTATAGTCATCCTCAATAATAATAGTAACAATAAATAACAATAAAAAAATTATTATTATTATTATAGTAATAAAAATAATCATATTTGTTCATGAATTTTTCCTCAGCTTTTATTTATCGGGGGTCGCCACAGCGTAATGAACTGCCAACTATTACAGGATAAGTTTTGCACGTCGCAGCATATGCGGATGCCCTTCCAGCTGCAACCCAGTACTAGGACTCATCCATACACACTCATTCACACACATACACTATGGACAATTTAGCTTACCCAATTCCCCTACGGTGCATGTGTTTGGACTGTGAAGGAAACCGGAGCACCCGGAGGAAAGCCACGGCAACACGGGGAGAACATGCAAACTCCACACAGAAACGCCAACTGAGCCAGCCGGGACTCGAACCAGCGACCTTCTAGCTGTGAGGCCATCATGTTGCGCAATAATAATAAAGATGATGTCGGATGGTAGTGTTTGAAGGACCATTTCCCTTGAGTCCTAAGAAGATATAAACCAACAAAAATAACATTTAGAAAGTAACATTTTTAATATCTTTTATTTGAAAAGAAATCCCCCTAATTAACTGTTGTTATAACCAGCAGACTCCGGCATCACTGCAATAAACAAACGTTAAATGAAACCGAAACCACAATACAAACAGACACCATCTCCAAAACTTGTAAAGCTTCTGCATACATACCTGTGAGTGTCAATCTACTGCCCCCGCTGATGGCGTGCAAAAGTCCTCAATTAAAGTTTCAATGTCTCCCCGAACCACACTGTAGATAAAGTAAAAGAAAACACATGTAATACCCCTCAACCAGCTAACCACAGCACCACACAAACCGGTCCTACCTTTCACCCTGGAGATAGTCGAGACGTCACTCCCCAAAGACACACAGATGTGCATAGCTCAGTGTCAAAGCAGTCTTTTAAACACCCTGAATACACTAATTAAAGGATCCAGCCACAATATAGCGCTGGTCGGTCGCATCACTACAATCATAATAAACACTGAAGTGACATAATAAAATGTTTACTACTCTGGCTTTTTTTCTTGTTCTCTTCTTCTTAGGGGTCAGTGTTTCCTCTTAGGTTAGGTTGCAGCTTATTTTCTGGCTGTAGTTTGTGAGGTGCCACAGTAAGTGAGAGAAACTGGCCCTCAGCACAACACCCTTGAGCAGCTGATCTGGACCCCAGCCCACAATCACCCACCAATTGAAGCATTCACCACTGAACTCCACTGAAGAGTGAGAGAACCTCGGGCAGGGATTCGCCATGGTCAGAGTGACGGAGCTGAGCGAGGGCGAGTGAGCGAGCGTCACCCCACCTGACGCCACGCGTCATTCTCATAGATATGTGTGGGGAAACAACTCTCACCACCATCCAGACAGCAACACACCAGGGGCCTCATGTACGAAGACTTGCGTTGAAATCAGACTAAAACATTGCTTTAAATACGGACAAAACTGTATATGTGCGTACGCAGTAAAAAAAAATGCAGAATCACATGAATATTCTCTTTGTACATCCGAATGAACGTGAAACTGAGCGCAACATGCACGAGCGCAAAACTCCTCCCCCATATGAATATGCTAATGACTCTACTTTGGCAAAACCAAATGAAGAAGCGATGGCAAAAGCAAGCAAAAAGAGAAACTTTGAACAGAACGTGAACTGGAGGTGCGCCTATCGGAGGTAGACTGGAGAAAAGCGGTGTTATTTACATGTTTGTCCTCCAGAATTAATAACAATACAAAAAATAGAGTGGGGGAGTTTAGCTGACGCGGTTAACGCAGTGGGGTCTCATTGGACACCTCGTTGGAATGAGGTGAGAGTGAAAGTGGAGCAGACTTTAATCCCCACTACATATCAGATTTTGCCTACTCTTCATCACGAGGAAGACCAGTAGGAATCATTAATAAGTGTCTGCATCATCTTATATTTGCACATTCATTGAATGGAAATCTTTCTGATTCACATATGCATATGAATCTTTAGATAGCTTCTTTATAGCAATGTGTGTGCAGTCGATCACTCCGATTACATTGGGAAAACCGGCGATCGCTGCAAATTGCGCTTTAATATTTGGCTGATCAACAGCATGGTATGGAAACCTTATAAACCTGCTAGACATGTGGATGAACCCGTCCCATACAGCTGCAGTTGCACGGCTCAAAGTTACTTTGTAGTGTGCAATATAACATAATTGCCTCTAGGAGTCGCGAATGGAATTAAACAAAACACAAGAAATACACGTACGCCAGACATGAAGTCGCCGTGGATCAATGCACAGTCTCATGTCATTTCATCGTTAGTAAATTCAAACGTGAGCGTGAAACCCTACGCAAAGTTTTTGTGCGTACGCAGCGCTGATACATGAGGCCCGAGGAGGAGCACAAAGCGGGTCATTTTAGTATTATTAGTATTATTATTATTAATAAAAGTAATTTAATAGAAGATCTAGTCTCTAAATCCACTCAATTCATATATTTTTGCTAAATGTTTAAACTACTTATTGAAAATGAGCTGGAGATTTTTAGGGAAACTTAATTTTCTGAACTTAAAAATAATTGTTTTATGTTCAGTCTGCTTAACTTGATAGATTTGTGTTGGGACAGCATGAATTGTGTGAAATCTGTAATTTACACAGTTCACCTTAAACTGATTCCAGTTTGCACATACATGAGGTCATGACTGTAAATAGACAATCTTTTGTTATAAGTGCTTACAAGTAATAATAATAACAGTGCTTATTAGTGTGTACGGCCTCACTGGAAGGAATGAGAATGCAGCCACGCTGACCTGAACGCCAAACACCCGCAGCATTCAGTCTCCCGTTAGCGGCACTGCAAAGCCCAAAAAGTACAGGGCTGATGCAGCGTCTTATGGACCACGACTGGAGAGAGAGAGAGAGAAGCAGCAAAACTTTTCCCTCGACGCTGATGCTGACAGTAACTGGTAGCAAATGAGTCTGCTGCAACCCTCCCGACTCCGGCATCACTGCAATAAACAAACGTTAAATGAAACCGAAACCACAATACAAACAGACACCATCTCCAAAACTTGTAAAGCTTCTGCATACATACCTGTGAGTGTCAATCTACTGCCCCCGCTGATGGCGTGCAAAAGTCCTCACTTAAAGGTTCAATGTCTCCCCGAACCACACTGTAGATAAAGTAAAAGAAAACACATGTAATACCCCTCAACCAGCTAACCACAGCACCACACAAACCGGTCCTACCTTTCACCCTGGAGATAGTCCAGACGTCACTCCCCAAAGACACACAGATGTGCATAGCTCAGTGTCAAAGCAGTCTTTTACACACCCTGAATACACTAATTAAAGGATCCAGCCACAATATAGCGCTGGTCGGTCGCATCACTACAATCATAATAAACACTGAAGTGACATAATAAAATGTTTACTACTCTGGCTTTTTTTCTTGTTCTCTTCTTCTTAGGGGTCAATGCTTCCTCTTAGGTTAGGTTGCAGCTTATTTCCTGGCTGTAGTTTGTGAGGTGCCACAGTAAGTGAGAGAAACTGGCCCTCAGCACAACACCCTTGAGCAGCTGATCTGGACCCCAGCCCACAATCACCCACCAATTGAAGCATTCACTGAACTCCACTGAAGAGTGAGAGAACCTCGGGCAGGGATTCGCCATGGTCAGAGTGACGGAGCTGAGTGAGGGCGAGTGAGCGAGCGTCACCCCACCTGACGCCACGCGTCATTCTCATAGATATGTGTGGGGAAACAACTCTCACCACCATCCAGACAGCAACACACCAGGGGCCTCATGTACGAAGACTTGCGTTGCAATCAGACTAAAACATTGCTTTAAATACGGACAAAACTGTATATGTGCGTACGCAGTAAAAAAAAATGCCGAATCACATGAATATTCTCTTTGTACATCCGAATGAACGTGAAACTGAGCGCAACATGCACGAGCGCAAAACTCCTCCCCCATATGAATATGCTAATGACTCTACTATGGCAAAACCAAACAAAGATGCGATGGCAAAAGCAAGCAAAAAGAGAAACTTTGAACAGAACGTGAACTGGAGGTGCGCCTATCGGAGGTAGACTGGAGAAAAGCGGTGTTATTTACATGTTTGTCCTCCAGAATTAATAACAATACAAAAAATAGAGTGGGAGAGTTTAGCTGACGCGGTTAACGAAATGGGGTCTCAAATGGACACCTCGTTGGAATGAGGTGAGTGAAAGTGGAGCAGACTTTATTCCCCACTACATATCAGATTTTGCCTACTCTTCATCACGAGGAAGACCAGTAGGAATCATTAATAAGTGTCTGCATCATCTTATATTTGCACATTCATTGAATGGAAATCTTTGATTCACGTTTGCATATGAATCTTTAGATGGCTTCTTTATAGCAATGTGTGTGCAGTCGATCACTCCGATTACATTGGGAAAACCGGCGATCGCTGCAAATTGCACATTAATGTTTGGCTGATCAACAGCATGGTATGGAAACCTTATAAACCTGCTAGACATGTGGATGAACCCGTCCCATACAGCTGCAGTTGCACAGCTCAAAGATACTTTGTAGTGTGCAATATAACATAATTGCCTCTAGGAGTCGCGAATTGAATTAAACAAAACACTAGAAATACACGTACGCCAGACATGAAGTCGCCGTGGATCAATGCACAGTCTCACGTTCATTTCATCGTTAGTAAATCCAAACGTGAGCGTGAAACAATACGCAAAGTTTTTGTGCGTACGCAGCGCTGATACATGAGGCCCGAGGAGGAGCACAAAGCGGGTCATTTTAGTATTATTATTATTATTATTATTATTATTATTATTATTATTATTATTATTATTATTATTAAAAGTAATTTAATAGAAGATCTAGTCGCTAAATCCACTCAATTCATATATTTTTGCTAAATGTTTAAACTACTTATTGAAAATGAGCTGGAGATTTTTAGGGAAAACTTAATTTTCTGAACTTAAAAATAATTGTTTTATGTTCAGTCTGCTTAACTTGATAGATTTGTGTTGGGACAGCAGGAATTGTGTGAAATCTGTAATCTACACATTTCACCTTAAACTGATTCCAGTTTGCACATACATGAGGTCATGACAGTAAATAGACAAACTTCTGTTATAAGTGCTTAAAAGTAATAATAATAACAGTGCTTATTAGTGTGTACGGCGTCACTGGAAGGAATAAGAATGCAGCCACGCTGACCTGAACGCCAAACACCCGCAGCATTCAGTCTCCCGTTAGCGGCGCTGCAATGCCCAAAAAGTACAGGGCTGACGCAGCGTCTTATGGACCACGACTGGAGAGAGAGAGAGAGAAGCAGCAAAACTTTTCCCTCGACGCTGATGCTGACAGTAACTGGTAGCAAATGAGTCTGCTGCAACCCTCCCGACTCCGGCATCACTGCAATAAACAAACGTTAAAATGAAACCGAAACCACAATACAAACAGACACCATCTCCAAAACTTGTAAAGCTTCTGCATACATACCTGTGAGTGTCAATCTACTGCCCCCGCTGATGGCGTGCAAAAGTCCTCACTTAAAGGTTCAATGTCTCCCCGAACCACACTGTAGATAAAGTAAAAGAAAACACATGTAATACCCCTCAACCAGCTAACCACAGCACCACACAAACCGGTCCTACCTTTCACCCTGGAGATAGTCGAGACGTCACTCCCCAAAGACACACAGATGTGCATAGCTCAGTGTCAAAGCAGTCTTTTAAACACCCTGAATACACTAATTAAAGGATCCAGCCACAATATAGCGCTGGTCGGTCGCATCACTACAATCATAATAAACACTGAAGTGACATAATAAAATGTTTACTACTCTGGCTTTTTTTCTTGTTCTCTTCTTCTTAGGGGTCAGTGTTTCCTCTTAGGTTAGGTTGCAGCTTATTTCCTGGCTGTAGTTTGTGAGGTGCCACAGTAAGTGAGAGAAACTGGCCCTCAGCACAACACCCTTGAGCAGCTGATCTGGACCCCAGCCCACAATCACCCACCAATTGAAGCATTCACCACTGAACTCCACTGAAGAGTGAGAGAACCTCGGGCAGGGATTCGCCATGGTCAGAGTGACGGAGCTGAGCGAGGGCGAGTGAGCGAGCGTCACCCCACCTGACGCCACGCGTCATTCTCATAGATATGTGTGGGGAAACAACTCTCACCACCATCCAGACAGCAACACACCAGGGGCCTCATGTACGAAGACTTGCGTTGAAATCAGACTAAAACATTGCTTTAAATACGGACAAAACTGTATATGTGCGTACGCAGTAAAAAAATGCAGAATCACATGAATATTCTCTTTGTACATCCGAATGAACGTGAAACTGAGCGCAACATGCACGAGCGCAAAACTCCTCCCCCATATGAATATGCTAATGACTCTACTTTGGCAAAACCAAACGAAGAAGCGATGGCAAAAGCAAGCAAAAAGAGAAACTTTGAACAGAACGTGAACTGGAGGTGCGCCTATCGGAGGTAGACTGGAGAAAAGCGGTGTTATTTACATGTTTGTCCTCCAGAATTAATAACAATACAAAAAATAGAGTGGGGGAGTTTAGCTGACGCGGTTAACGCAGTGGGGTCTCATTGGACACCTCGTTGGAATGAGGTGAGTGAAAGTGGAGCAGACTTTATTCCCCACTAGATATCAGATTTTGCCTACTCTTCATCACGAGGAAGACCAGTAGGAATCATTAATAAGTGTCTGCATCATCTTATATTTGCACATTCATTGAATGGAAATCTTTGATTCACGTTTGCATATGAATCTTTAGATAGCTTCTTTATAGCAATGTGTGTGCAGTCGATCACTCCGATTACATTGGGAAAACCGGCGATCGCTGCAAATTGCCCTTTGTTTGGCTGATCAACAGCATGGTATGAAAACCTTATAGACCTGCTAGACATGTGTATGAACCCGTCCCATACAGCTGCAGTTGCACAGCTCAAAGATACTTAATAGTGTGCAATATAACATAATTGCCTCTAGGAGTCGCGAATAGAATTAAACAAAACACAAGAAATACACGTACGCCAGACATGAAGTCGCCGTGGATCAATGCACAGTCTCACGTTCATTTCATCGTTAGTAAATCCAAACGTGAGCGTGAAACCCTACGCAAAGTTTTTGTGCGTACGCAGCGCTGATACATGAGGCCCGAGGAGGAGCACAAAGCGGGTCATTTTAGTATTATTATTATTATTATTATTATTAAATGTAATTTAATAGAAGATCTAGTCTCTAAATCCACTCAATTCATATATTTTTGCTAAATGTTTTAACTACTTATTGAAAATGAGCTGGAGATTTTTAGGGAAACTTAATTTTCTGAACTTAAAAATAATTGTTTTATGTTCAGTCTGCTTAACTTGATAGATTTGTGTTGGGACAGCATGAATTGTGTGAAATCTGCAATTTACACAGTTCACCTTAAACTGATTCCAGTTTGCACAACATGAGGTCATGACTGTAAATAGACAAACTTTTGTTATAAGTGCTTACAAGTAATAATAATAACAGTGCTTATTAGGTGCTAATTCCTCATCTTAGGTTAGGTTGCAGATTATTTTCTGGCTATAGTTTGTGAGGTACCACGTTAAGCTAGCCAAACTGACTCTCAGCTCAACAACTGTGGAAAGCTGATCTGGACCCCAGCCCACCGCCACCCCCAATTGAAGCATTCACCACTGAACTCCACTTATGAGTGAGAGAACCTCGGGCAGGGATTCGCCATGGAAGAGTGACTGAGCTGAGCGAGGGTGAGTGAATGAGGGAGCGCCGCCCCATCCTGACGCTACGGGTCATTCCCAAAGATATGGTGTGGGGAGACAACTCTCACTACCATCCAGACAGACAAAACACGAGATTGAGGAACACCGAGGTTGTCAGTTTAGCATTATTATTACTACTACTACTACTACTTCTACTACTACTACTACTTCTACTACTACTACTACTACTACTACTACTACTATTATTATTATTATTTAAAAGCAATTTAATAGAAGATCTAGTCTCAAAATCTACATATTTTTGCTACTTGTTCAAACTACTTTTTAAAATGAGCTTAAACAATTGTAGAGATTTGTTGGAGAAACTTGTTTTATTTTCAATCTACTTTTAGTTATGGTAACTTAATGGATTTGTGTTGGGAAAAGATGAATAAATTATGTTGAACACTGCATATTTTAAAACATTTTTGGCCATGAATTTACTGCAAATATAGCAGAGAGTTTTTTTTTATTAATGCTTGAAATGTAATTTCAAGAGTTCACACTTACCTGATGATTGATAATAAAGCTTATTTGGCATGCTGTCCCGGGGGAGAGCCCTAAGCATTGGTGCAGCGGAGTATGTAAGCAGAGCGGAGCACCTCTAGTTACGGAGGTGCAATTTAAGTCATTGGTGCAGCGGAGTATTTAAGCGGAGCACCTCTAGTTACGGAGGTGCAATTCAAGTCATTAGTGCAGCGGAGTATGTAAGCAGAGCGGAGCACCTCTAGTTACGGAGTAGCAATTCAAGTCATTGGTGCAGCGAAGTATACAAGTGGAGCACCTCTAGTTACGGAGGTGCAATTCAAGTCATTGGTGCAGCGAAGTGTTTAAGCGGAGCACCTCTAGTTACGGAGGTGCAATTCAAGTCATTGGTGCAGCGGAGTATTTAAGCGGAGCACCTCTAGTTACGGAGGTGCAATTCAAGTCATTAGTGCAGCGGAGTATGTAAGCAGAGCGGAGCACCTCTAGTTACGGAGGTGCAATTTAAGTCATTAGTGCAGCGGAGTATGTAAGCAGAGCGGAGCACCTCTAGTTACGGAGGTGCAATTCAAGTCATTGGTGCAGCGGAGTATACAAGTGGAGCACCTCTAGTTACGGAGGTGCAATTCAAGTCATTGGTGCAGCGGAGTATACAAGCGGAGCACCTCTAGTTACGGAGGTGCAATTCAAGTCATTAGTGCAGCGGAGTATGTAAGCAGAGCGGAGCACCTCTAGTTACGGAGGTGCAATTCAAGTCATTAGTGCAGCGGAGTATGTAAGCAGAGCGGAGCACCTCTAGTTACGGAGGTGCAATTCAAGTCATTGGTGCAGCGGAGTATACAAGCGGAGCACCTCTAGTTACGGAGGTGCAATTCAAGTCATTGGTGCAGCGGAGTATTTAGGCGGAGCACCTCTAGTTACGGAGGTGCAATTCAAGTCATTGGTGCAGCGGAGTATACAAGCGGAGCACCTCTAGTTACAGAGGTGCAATTCAAGTCATTGGTGCAGCGGAGTGTTTAAGCGGAGCACCTCTAGTTACGGAGGTGCAATTCAAGTCATTGGTGCAGCGGAGTATTTAAGCGGAGCACCTCTAGTTACGGAGGAGCAATTCAAGTCATTAGTGCAGCGGAGTATGTAAGCAGAGCGGAGCACCTCTAGTTACGGAGGTGCAATTCAAGTCATTGGTGCAGCGGAGTATACAAGCGGAGCACCTCTAGTTACGGAGGTGCAATTCAAGTCATTGGTGCAGCGGAGTATGTAAGCAGAGCGGAGCACCTCTAGTTACGGAGGTGCAATTCAAGTCATTGGTGCAGTCGAGTATTTAAGCGGAGCACCTCTAGTTACGGAGGTGCAATTCAAGTCATTGGTGCAGCGGAGTATGTAAGCAGAGCGGAGCACCTCTAGTTACGGAGGTGCAATTCAAGTCATTGGTGCAGCGGAGTATTTAAGCGGAGCACCTCTAGTTACGGAGGTGCAATTCAAGTCATTGGTGCAGCGGGGTATACAAGTGGAGCACCTCTAGTTACGGAGGTGCAATTCAAGTCATTGGTGCAGCGGAGTGTTTAAGCGGAGCACCTCTAGTTACGGAGGTGCAATTCAAGTCATTAGTGCAGCGGAGTATGTAAGCAGAGCGGAGCACCTCTAGTTACAGAGGTGCAATTCAAGTCATTGGTGCAGCGGAGTGTTTAAGCGGAGCACCTCTAGTTACGGAGGTGCAATTCAAGTCATTAGTGCAGCGGAGTATGTAAGCAGAGCGGAGCACCTCTAGTTACAGAGGTGCAATTTAAGTCATTGGTGCAGCGGAGTATGTAAGCAGAGCGGAGCACCTCTAGTTACGGAGGTGCAATTCAAGTCATTGGTGCAGCGGAGTATGTAAGCAGAGCGGAGCACCTCTAGTTACGGAGGTGCAATTCAAGTCATTAGTGCAGCGGAGTATGTAAGCAGAGCGGAGCACCTCAAGTTACGGAGGTGCAATTCAAGTCATTAGTGCAGCGGAGTATGTAAGCAGAGCGGAGCACCTCTAGTTACGGAGGTGCAATTCAAGTCATTAGTGCAGCGGAGTATGTAAGCAGAGCACCTCTAGTTACGGAGGTGCAATTCAAATCATTAGTGCAGCGGAGTATGTAAGCAGAGCGGAGCACCTCTAGTTACAGAGGTGCAATTCAAGTCATTGGTGCAGCGGAGCATTTAAGCAGAGCGGAGCACCTCTAGTTACGGAGGTGCAATTCAAGTCATTGTCGCAGCAGAGTATGTAAGCAGAGCGGAGCACCTCTAGTTACGGAGGTGCAATTCAAGTCATTAGTGCAGCGGAGTATGTAAGCAGAGCGGAGCACCTCTAGTTACGGAGGTGCAATTCAAGTCATTAGTGCAGCGGAGTATGTAAGCAGAGCGGAGCACCTCTAGTTACGGAGGTGCAATTCAAGTCATTGGTGCAGCGAAGTATACAAGTGGAGCACCTCTAGTTACGGAGGTGCAATTCAAGTCATTGGTGCAGCGAAGTGTTTAAGCGGAGCACCTCTAGTTACGGAGGTGCAATTCAAGTCATTGGTGCAGCAGAGTATTTAAGCGGAGCACCTCTAGTTACAGAGGTGCAATTCAAGTCATTGGTGCAGCAGAGTATTTAAGCGGA